ACCCCAGCCCCGCTGCCTCCCCTCCCTCACTGCCCTGAGGACTCTGTCCTTCCTCTTCACTCTGTGACCTTTGGGCTTCTCGAGGACCTCACTGCCCCCCACGCTCACGATGGCCAACCTTTAGCAAGCGTTTGCTGCATGAGCTAGGGAGCAGCATTTAATTCTCCAAACAGCCCTACGGGGTAGGTGCAGTTACTGTCCACAGAGGAGAAAGCTGAGGTGCAGGGAGGTGAAGTCACCTGCCCAAGGTCACAGAGCTGGACTCTGAGCCCAGAGTGTTAGGCAGCAGACTGGCTCCTAGCCGCCTGGATCCCCGGCCTCCCCTGGCCGCCTGAAAACATGGGACAGTCTGGACTGCCCGCCCCCACCCACCCTCTGTCCCCCTTCTCCCACGGCCAACTCACTCCTCCGAGCCATGTCCTCCGCTGGGGCAGCTGCCTCTGGGGGGCTCCTGTTGACCTTGGGGGAGGCCGGTCTGGGGGGCACCTCGGACTCTGTCCTGTGAAGGAAGAAGAGGGTCAGGGTCAAGCCTGCCATCTCCCAGACGTCTCCTGGGATCTTGGGAAGACTCCCAGCCAGCAGGCTGAGTTTGGGTCCCCCACATTGTGGCCAAGCCTGGGATCCGTCCCCAGGCTGCCCCCTGCCCCCGAGGTTTACACCCAGATTCCCTGGACGCTATGTGACTCTGCGACAGTGTCTGTGGCCCCCTATGGGGCCAGGATTGGGGGAAGGAGGGAGGGGGAGAAAGCAGGGCCTCCCTCTGCCTCAGCTCTCAGCCTCCTTGTGATCTTTCTGGGATGTTCCGGCCGCTGGAAGCAGAGAGTGGACAAGTAGCAGAGAGGAGGCCTCCTGGCTCCCTCCAGGTCTCTGCTTGTTTCCCCTTGGTCCCCTCTCCTGCTCTGTTTTTTGCAGCACATACCCCTGCCTGACACTACATTGATCTTTTTGGGGGGTACTTGTTGATTCTCTCCCCTCGCCCCCAGAACATATGCTCTAAGGGCAGCATCTGTCTCGCTCATCGGAAGAAATTCATGGCCGGGGCCCCGGTAGCCTGTGACAGCTGAGTAATCCCTGCCTGGCACGGAGGCACCGTGCACGGCAAGCGCAGCTTTCCAGCTTTCAGGGACCAAAGAGGACTGGAAGGTGTTTACGAATTCCACAGTGACCAGCCCTCCAGTTCCCTACATCCACAGGGCCTGAAACAGTGCCTGGCATGTAGCAGGTGCTCAGCAAATAGCCATACAATGAACAAGGAAACGCATTAGAGGCTGAGAGGTATGTTCCCTCAGAGCCTCCACCCCACCCACTCCAACCCGGGGAACCTGGTATTTGGGATGTAAATACAACAATTACATTTCCTAAAATGCCACTGGAAGCCCTGAGAGATGGTGCCTCAGACTGGGCATCTTGGGGTTGGGACAGGGGCCATCATATCCGTGAGTTCTTACCTTTCCTTGGTAGCCACTGCGGCTGGGACTGGGGCTGGGGCAGCAGCTGGGGCAGTGGCCGGGGTGGGCACGGCAATGGCTGGAAGCTCCTCAGAAGCTGGCTTGTCGCCTGCCTTGTCCTGGGGGGTGGGGGCTGGGAACAGGCCTGACACGTTGAAATTGATGTCTGCAGGTAGAAGGGAGTAGGCCTTACCTTTCAGAGTCTCCACCAGCCTCCCCACTCCGCCAGTAACAGGACCACTCTCCCTTTTCCCGGACATCCTATGGACCATGATTTGCCTTCCCACCCCCCCAGGAGCCTCGCAACAATCCCATGAGGCAGGCAGGGTCATCCCTGTTTTACAGATAAGAAACTGAGGCTCAGAGTAGAGAAGCTTCGTGCAGAGTGCACGGGGCTGCCAGGGACCGAAGCTGGTCTGTAGAGTACTGAGCTGGGCACAGGGGGCACGAAGGGGCACGCGCACATAGGCAGGGGGTTCACCTCCAGGAAAGAGGGTGTCTGCATTTTGTATCAGAGCCTCCACCACGCCCACCACCTGGATGGACGACACTGAGGCTGCATTCAGCTGGGCCTGGTCCCTGGGACAAAAGGGAGTGAAAGTGAGTCATCATTTAGCGAAGTCATAGTGGCCCCAACTCTGGCTGGCTCTGTGCTGGCCCCGGAGAATGGGATCAATCAGTCACATCCAATCCCTGTTCTCAAAAGCTCATAGATGCCCAGCCGGTGTGGCTCAGTGGTTGAGCAGTGACCTATGAACCTGGAGGTCATGGTTTGATTCCTGGTCAGGGCACACGCCCCGGTTTCCAGCTGGATCCCCAGTAGGGGGTGTGCAGGAGGCAGCTGATCATTGACTCTCATCACTGATGTTTCTGTCTCTCTCTCTCTCTTTCTCTCTCTTCTGCTTCCACTCTCTGAAATCAATAAAAACATAAAAAACAAACAAAAACAGACACCGTGGATGGCAAACATGTCACCACACACCAAATTTGTCCCTTCATGCACAACAGGCATCACTAGTCGGTCACCACAGCTCTCGGTTCTTGGATCTAGGCAGCCGTGACCACATAACTGCATTCAACAAATGAATGGCATCCTTTTGCCACCCATGGCCAGGTGAACAATAACGACCACTCACCTACGATGGCACTTTACAGTTTATAAAGCATTCCTCCATTCATTAGGTCACTGAATTCCCAAAGCAAAAATCCTTAGACTTTGTATAATTTCTAATTTACAGATGAAGAAGGGGAGGTTGAGAGAGTGACTTCCTAAGGCCCATCTCTGAGATGTAGAGGAGCTAGAACCAGATCTTGGGTCCCCAGCCTTCCAAGCACCCCACTACCGCCATTACCCAGAATGCTATCTCAAAGCCCTGTGGGGTCCATGATCCCTTTGGGCTGCCCTTCATGGCAGCCTTGAGAATAGGAGCTGCTCAACCCATTCTAAGGATGAGGAAACGGAGGCCCAGGAGAAAGACAAACAGCAGACAGTTGGGGTGCGGACTGCCACCTTCCCCCTACCCATGGCCTCTCACCCTTCTTTCTCAGGGGGCCACAGCAGGTTGGGCCCCAAGACTATGGCGATGTTGCTGGGTGTCATCTTGTTCACCTCCTGATCCTCAGCCAGTCGTGCCAGGAACTTCATCAGGTACCTGGGGAGGCAGGAGGTAAGACTGGACCAGGGGCGGGGCATCAGCCACAAACACCCATCAACACCTCCCAAGACCACTGACTTTCCTAGCCTGGGGTTTCGAAAGTGTGGCCAAGACAGCACATAGGCTGGTTTAAAACTTTTTAATAAGGAGTGTTATACTCTGTATTTTCTAGCGGAGGCACAAAATGGTCAATTCACCAGCTCAGGGCCACACAGTGGCGGAGGTGCGATTTGAAGCCAGGTGGTGTGGCTTCAAGGTATGTGTTTAGTTCAGTGTCAAGTATTTAAAAATATGACTAGTGTCCAGCCGGAGTGGCTCAGCGGTTGAGCATCGACCTGTGATCCAGGAGGTCATGGTGCGATTCCTGGCTACCGGCTCGATCCCCAGCAGGGGGCGTGCAGGAGGCAGCCAGTTGATGCTTCTCTCTCATCACTGATGTTTCTCTCTCTCTCTCCCTCTCTCTTCCTCTCCCTGGGAAAATAAAAAGGCTAGTACAGTGCTCTTTGGCAGCACATGTAAAATTGGACTGATACAGAGATTAGCATGGGCCCTGTGCAAGGATGACACACAAACCCATGAAGCGTTCCATATTTAAAACAATAATAATAACAGTAAATAAAAATGTGACTAGTACATCGAAGCTGTGTTTTCAAAAATATTGGTTAGGACGAGTAGGCGGACTCAGACGCAGGCCTCAGAGGCCCAGGGGCCGGCGTGGGGCTCACCTGAGGTTACTGAAGTTCTCCTGGGGCAGGCGGCTGCACACCTCTTGGAGGGCCTCCAGCCGGGCTCCGGGCTCCTTCAGGCTGGGGAGAGCAGACCTGGTGAGCCAGCCCAGGGTGGCACCTTTACAGCCTCCTCTCCCCGGGACGCCCCCACCTCACCTGGCTGCCTTCATCCAATCATCATAGAGGTCAAAGGTCATCAGGGGCTCTGGCAGCTCCCGCAGATAGGACTTGAGGGCACCTGAAGTGGTGGTGTGAGCTCAGTCGCAGCCCAAACCTCTACCTTCACCCCAGTACCCAGCTCTCTCCATCTGCTAGGGGCCTCCGGCCCTCGTTCACACTAACATGTCCAGGTCTATCATTTCTTGGGCCCTGGGCCCTTTAAGAGAAAATGGTGAAAGCTAGTATCTTGTTCTCAGAAAAGCATACATACATTTCAGGGGTTCACCACAGACCCCACTTTGAGGAACCCTGTGTCTCCTCAGCAGATTATCAGGCTTTAAACCAAACTATCATGGGCCCATTTCAGGCAGCTGTGGTGCAGGGATCTGGGGGACGCCCCCCCCCCCCCAGG